CGTATTAATGCCTATTTTACCCTTTTTAGACCGGATTCACTCTTCTTTTGGGTCCATTCTTCTTCTTCAACGTTACCCGAACGAGGTGGCTGCAGATGTTCACCACTACCACGCGTTGGGCAGCCTTTATTCTCATGATCGCCCTCGCCTGCGTACGCATCTGGCATTTTCCCCCAAAGCTAGCGGACCCCCCGATGACCTCGACGACTCCTGCCACCATTACCACCACGCCCATTCCGATTCCCCATCCACCATTGGCCAATTTCCACAATGTGGCTTCCCTTTTCGGAGTGTCCGTGTACGCCTTCATGTGCCATCACTCCCTGCCCGGCTTAATTACCCCCGTCCACAATAAGCACCACATCTACTCAGCTCTCTTACTACCAGCTTACGCTGTGGTCTTGCTTCTCTACTTCCTCCTTGTCGGAACTGCAGTCGCCGCCTTTGACACCATCGAGGATCTCTACACTCTCAACTTTGTGCCCTCGGCTGATCCTGATGCCCACGTCAGCCCGTTTATTCTGGCTGTGGATTACTTTCTCTCCCTCTTTCCAGTCTTTGCTCTCTCCTCCACCTTTCCCATTGTCGGCACCACGCTTTCAAATAACCTCTTCGCTTTGATTGGTCTACTGTTGCCAGCCAATCCCTATCAGACTCTGTCGCCCGACGACAGCCCGCGCCGACTGGATGCTCGCCGATTGGCTATTCGTATTTGCGTACCATTGGTAACTCTGTTGCCGCCGGTGGCCATCGCTTTTGCAACAAATGACATTGAGTTTTTAGTGGGAGTGACCGGGGCCTTTGGTGGCAGTGGTATTCAGTACGTTTTTCCCACCGTGCTGGTGTACTATGCTCGTCGAGATCTGGAACGGCGTCTGAAGTTTAAGGAAAATGTTGGGTCAGAGGCGGAAGAGAACGAGCTCTCTGAGATGGCGATGGTGGGGCCTTCCAGTCCCCAGGAGGAAGAGGGCGTCTCAGAGAGCGCACCGCTGATTACGCTGCGCCGACCCGTGCGGAACAGGAGTCAAAACCCCTTTGCCTCGCCCTTCGCACACACCTTCTGGCTTATTCTTATGCTGGTCTGGGCCGCTTTCTGTGTACTGATAGTCCTGCTACACCGGCTCAAATGTTTCTAGAAGGGGCAGCAGCTGTGCTCATCAGTTCCTCATTTCTTTTATTCAGAGTATTCACTCGCTCTCCCTCCCCCCTCCTACCCTGACTTATTTTTGCGCTCTTCAGTTCTGATTTCCTTGGAACAGCTAATTTGCCCGGTGTATTGCTTTTTATTTCCGTAATCAAAGCCCCTAAAATTTGCTTATAGCTCTAAAGCCAGCATTTTCCACTGTTGTCAACTGAAATCACGCCGTTGTGGTATCAGTGAGTCGCGTGATTCGGTATTCCTTTTTTGCGTTGTTGGTAGTAGTATTAGGGGGCTTGTGATCATTCACTGTGCGCCAGAGTCGTCCTGATAACTGTCATAACCCGCGCCTAGTACAATGAAATGAAAGATTACCCGACCGTTGTTCCCAAAGCCCACATACAGGAGGAGGAGAAGGCAGTTGACCACACGGAGAGCTGTATTAACAATTGGCCCCGTGGTTCTCACAGAAAGGCTGCGTATACTTATTGATTCGGCAAAAATTCCCATTTCGTTAACGATTGAAAAGTCGTGTTGGCAAACAGCTGTTTTCGGTCATTCACTTCAGGCCGTTACAGTGACGTGGAAAAATAGGCGACTAAAGCAGACAGTTCGGTACAGTGCATATATGGTTCTTGAGGTGGGGGGAGGGGATAATTAGTAATCTCGTGGTTCCCTCGTCTCCTGCGAGCCGGACTCAGCATGCCGAGGACGTGGGGTTGTCACGCGGGGGAGGGACATACCCACGATCGACGTCATACGCGTAGCGGGCTCTCTGTGACTGTGAGCAACATGGTCGCGCTGCGTGTTCTCTGCGGCTGTGGGTAGAATGGTTTCGGGCTGCGTAGCTTCTGACGTAGTGGCTTCTGGCGGTGCGGGA